GCAAGAGGAGAAGAGGGAAACAGCGAGTAAATTACTTAACAAGCTTGTGTAAATTTCTGAGATGCATAATGAGGAAAGAAGGCTTGGAGAATTTGACACCCACAGAACATATTAAAGGCAAGAGGAGCAGCGAGTAACTTAACAAGCTTGTGTAAATTTTTTAGATGATTAATGAGGAAAGAAGGCTTGGAGAATTTGACTCTCACAGAACATATTAAAGGCAAGAGGAGAAGAGGGAAGCAGTGAGTAACTTACTTAACAAGCTTGTGTAAATTTATTAAATATGTATTGATGAAAGGGGGCTATGAATTTTAATATAAATAAGACAGAAGGGTGACGATTATATCATTGACTGAACATGGGAGTAATGAAGAAGTTTTAAGGAAAATGGAAACAAAATGTATGTTTATACTTAGAATCAGAAAGAAGCAGTTTAAATCCTGGAACACATAATGAGGAAAGAGGCCTTGGAGAATTTGATACCCTTAGGACATACTCAAGACAAGAGGAAAGCAGTGAGTAACCTCTCTAACACAATGACAAAACAGGGAATGGGAAAGATTATAAAAAACAGTCCTTACTAAGATGTACAAATGATAGTAATCTGTGGAGGGCCATTATTGCCTGTGTTGTTTCAGGACATGACATCGAAAAATAAAAACATATGCAGCATCGCAACTCTTTGTATAAAATAAAATTTAATCCTGAATACTGACTTTTCTTTCAACAGACATAGCCAATATTTAATTGATATTTGATTATATTTTTTTCTTGATCATTAATTTTTGCCTTTAAATTTTTGCATGACAGTGGTTATAAAAAGAGAAATATTTATGCAAACTAAATTAACCACCATTGATGTCTTCAACGAGCCAGTCAGATTCTAAGATCTTTGAGAAACTGACGAGACATTATTCAAATGCAGTTCTTTATCAAAAAAATAAGAGACAAGAAAACAAAAACTTAATTGCCATTTCTTTTATGGCTGGGATACATTTGAAACAACTCTATCATAATTATTACTTGATAGGATATATTATTGATCCGTTTGAATATAAACTGGATCAGTTTCTGTAATCCGATTCCATGAAAAAAGATTACTGTATCTATTTTGTATTCTGATGGTATGCCAGTCGGCTTTTCCTTTTTTATTTTCTATGTTTTCTTGTATTTTGATTTTTATATATTAAAAGATTCTTGTATTATTTTTTGTTTTTTTTTTAGGTGGGTGGGGGATGTAATATTTCCAATTTCTACTGTTTTTAGGATTTTATCTTTTGGCTCCATTCTGCCATGTTTTTAACTTCTTTGCAAATTCCCAGACTATTTAGACTGTGATATTTTTTGGATTTTTTTAAAAAAATTCTGTCTGGTGTTTTGATTTGTGTCACCAGAAAATTTGTTTTATTTTCTGTATTCTTTTTGCTGCATTAAAAAAAAAATCAATGAAGGAAAGAGAGAAGGAAAAAGTGAGAATGAAACGAGTTTCACAATGTGGGAATGACAAAAAAAAAAGAAAGAAAGAAAGAAAACAGAAAAAAGAAAAGCCCCCAAAAAAGGCAAAATGGAGAATAAAATTTGAAGAACGAGAAAGGAAGGAGTTTCAGAAAAGCAAATTGTGTGAAGGACAAGGAAAAAAGCGAAAAAAGAAGAGAGAATTGAAAAAGTAAGAATGAGATTGAAAAAGAAATGAAAGTGAAAAAAAAATTGGAGAATGAAAAATAGAAGAGAGAGATGAAAAGGAAAAAGTAGGAATAAAATTGGAAAGAAGAATGAATAAAATTGAGAAAGGAAGGAGTTTCAGAAAAATAAATTCTGTGAATGAGAAGTAAAAAAAAAGAAAAATTGGAAAAGAAAGAAAGAAATTGAAAAATAAATGAAGGTGAAGAAAAAATTAAAGAAAGAAAGAAAGTGAGAATAAGAAGAGAGAAATGGTAAAGGAAAAAAGGGTGAATAAAATTTGAAGAAAGAAAGAAAGTGAGAATAAGAAGAGAGAAATTGTAAAGGAAAAAAGGGTGAATAAAATTTGAAGAAAGAATGAAGAAACTGAGAAAAAAGGAGTTGCAGAAAAGTAAAATGTGTGAAGGACAAAGAAAGAAAAAAGAAGAAATAATTGAAAAAGAAAGGAGAAAAAGAAAGTGAAAAAAAAACTGGAAAAAGAAAGAGAGAATAGAGAAATGTAAAAAGAAAGACAGTGAATAAAATTTTAAAGAAAGAATGAAAAACTGAAAAAGGAAGGAGCATCAGAAAAGTAAATTCTATGAAGGAAAAAGAAGGAAAAAAGAGAAAATTGAAAAAGAAAGAAAGAAATTAAAAAAGAAAAGAAGGGGAAGAAAAATTGAAAAAGAAAGAAAGAAAGAAAGAATTGAAAAATGAAGGTTGAAAAGAAAAAGTTGAGAAAGGAAAAAATTTCCGAAAAGCAAAATGTTTGAAAGACAAAGAAATGAAAGGAAAAGGAGAGATTTGAAAAGGAGAGGAAGTTGAAGAAAAAATGAAGAAAAAAAGAACAAAATCAAAAAGGGAAGGTGTTTCAAAAAACTACACAGTGTGATGAAAAAAAGAAAGAAGGTGTTTTGAAAAAGGAGGAAAACTGAAGAAAAAATTGAAGAAAAAATTGAAGGAAGAAAGAAAGAAAAAACTGAAATGCAAAGATTCAAAAAAGCAAAGAGAAAGAAAGATAACAAGTAAGAATTGAAAAAGAAAAAGATATAAAAAAAACTTGAAGAAAGAAAGAAAATAAAGATAGGTTTGTAAAGGCAAAGAACACAAAGAAAAATATAAATGCTTTGCAAATGATTTATGTGGAAATGCCATGAAAAGACATCCTGGGTAGGACAAAAAACTACATCTGGCAATATGGCCTCTGATCAGATTTTGAGGAGTGTGGAACCACCTTTTAGTTTCTGTTGATCCCATGTCCATCCTGACCTGAAGTGGTAGCACCTGTTAGGGTCCCAGCTATGGGAAAATAGTGAAACCCCAAAATGGGGTAAAAAGACTAGAAATGTATAAAAATACATTTTGATAGTAAAAATTTCTAGTAATGGATTTTTATAGTAAATAAATAAAATTACCAAAGCCCCTAAGGTAATTAAATTTTGGCATTAACTGACCCATAAGGAGTTGATATGCCATTAAAAAAATCAAACCAAACAAAGCCATGAAAAGACCGAATTACAGAATGTTTCACACATCAGGGTCCAGAAATGAACATTGCATTATTAGCAGAATAGAATAAACTTTTTTCATAAGCACTTATTATATACACTTATTAAATGCACTTAGATATATTATATACACTTATTATATACACATATATATATATATTATATACACTTAAACACACTTATATGCTATATACACTTATTATATACACTTATATATATTGTATATATATTATATATTATATATTATGTGACACTATTTAGTGTTTGGCTAATTAAGCATGAAAATTAAAAGCGAGAAATACTTAAGGCCAGAAGAAGCTATCACGAAAGACATACTGAGTGATGTTATTTTTTTAACAAAGAAAAGTGGTAAAGATTTTATTTTCATTTGCGAAAAAAGTATTTTTTTTTTTGCAGAAGATAGGAAATTCGTAAGGTCTCGGATCTGTCGGAATTAATTTATGCTATGACTCGGCGAATAAAAGCTAGCAATCTGCCCATGCCAATAATGAAAATTTCAAATTGGTCAAGTGGCTTACAAAGCAGAATGCTAAAAGATGATCAGATTTAGGTCAAGCACCGACCGAGAAAAAGATCAGCTGGGGCCACCCCAAAGAAAAAGGAAGGGAAAAGTGAAAAAGGAAAAGAATAAACCATTAACTATCTTTTGGAGATATCATTTTGTTTTTGGGAAGAGATACCGGTTTTATGTTTGGACCTGGACATGATAAAAGTTTGTTACCTGGACAGACTGTTGGCGACAGAGTGCGAAGACGTTCAGTTGACCACCCAGTTAATCACTTGGCGAAAATCTCGTTGATGAATTCCAGATGACATTCAGTTAAGATAGAGATTAAGGACCACACTACGAGTCGTAGGGGTCTGGTCGAGGAAAAGAAAGAAAAGTAAAAGGGAGATAATTTTTTTCCTTTGAGTGATAATTGTAAGCTGAGGCCAGACTTGCTGTGCCCACGCTACCGAGCATTCATTGGCTGAGTGGTGGCATGAGCGGTGGGCAAAGGTAAACAAAAGAGAAGGAGGGGAGGCCTGTTGACGCCTCTGAGGGGATTGGTGTGGATACCACTATGAGAAAGAAGGAAACCTGTTGACGCCCTCTGGGGATTGGTGTGAGATACCAATATGAGAAAAGGAAGAATTTGGGAGGACAATTCCCTTAAGAACCCTCTAAAACAGAAAGTAATGGATTTCCAAAAATGGAAAGTGATAAATTTTCCTGTCCGAAAACAAAGAAAATCCTTATTGTGGATTTGGAATTATCGAGGAACCCAAACCACGACCGGCCCCCAACCGGTTTTGGTCAGCGTCCATATAAACGCAGAGACAGTGGCAGTGTGGGCAGATGCAGACGGCAGACACAGACAGCGGACAGCAGGCAGACGGTAGCAGTTGAGCTGTGAGCTCGGAGACCAGCCTCGCAGGAGCTGACTGAAAGACCCACGCATTCCGACTTAGACTTCTAACCAAAAACAATTTATTTTTGAAGAACAACTTAGCCTCACACCACCAAAACAAGTTTTACGAATATCGCCTGAAGACACCAAAAACCAGTTTCTTGAAAAACAACTTAAGATATTAAGACTCGCCTAACAAACACAAAGTGTCACGTATCCATAGAAGTGGTTTGGGAGAAAGACGCAGTCCTGTATTCAGAAATTTTACATATACTTGTGTGGAGTCACCTTTGCTCGAATTCAGTTTGCACTACGGCCCGACGACTGATTGATTTCAGCTACCTAAGATCAAATCACCATGTGGGTAGGTTAGACTAGAAATCAAAGCAGTTACTTTGGTAATCAGACGTTGAAGGCGAGCTGGGAACAACAAAGCTGATACCGAATCTAACCAGATTTCCATCCGAATCAGCCAAGGGCCACATTTGGTGCCGCGACCAATACCAATTCACACTGGTCGTCACAGGATAGCATGGGGGCAGAGAGGCGCAGGGTGATGTCACAATTATATACACCTATTATATACAATAAATACATTTTCAAATTTTATTACAAGAAATTTAAAACATAAATGTTTTATTTTTCATTTTGTATTTAATTTTTATCATATATATATATATATATATATATATATATATATATATGTGTGAAAAGTGTATATAAATATAAATAAATACATCTATGTATAATTATTTATATATTATATGCGCGGTACTTATTAGAAAGCGCTCAATATCAGAGATAGAGATAACATATTTGGTTGGATAGATGTGAGTTTGAGATCCTGGGTTTCACGCTTTAGTGATCGTCAGACAAACTCTGACGATTGCTAAAGCATGAAACCCAGGGTCACAAACTCATCTATCAACTAAAATATATATATATATATATATATATATATAATGGACTCTCCCGTCGGTTTCGACATATGAGGACCTGATAGCTTATTGATTCAGTTATGAAAGTTTGTGCAATAATCTTAAGTGGCATTTAAGACCCGCTAGTGATTTACAAAGTAGTTCACATATGGAGCAAGAAATATATATATATATCTGACAGGCATGACTAGGTTCTTCTGCTTTTGTGGCATTATGCAGAGTCCTGTTGCTAAACATAGTGTCTCCCAGCAACCATCCTCTTCACCCAGAACATCACCTCCTCAAGGCATTTGCTGTAAGCCTCTGTGTTCAGTCTGAGGTCTTGTGGGGAGATGAATGTATATATATAACATTGTCATCACTATTGATCACTCCAAACACGTTTGTAATCACAATTAGACTCATCCAACTTTTTCTGAATCTTCTACACTATTCTCAGATTGACACCCAAACACTCCTAAGCGTAGGAGCTTCCAGCCTGAATGCTATGCAGTATGGTATGCCTTTTCCAAGTTTCTGGCAGAGTGAATTGTGTCATGGTGCTTTTTTCTCACAGACGGTGTCCAACTGACCCAAATATAGCATGCAGTTGATAAAATCAAAAACAAACAATGCACATGCACAAAATTAAAAATATAAAATTGCAACAATTTTCCCATTGCACCCTGAGGTTGATATATATATATATATATATATATATATATATATTAAAGAAAAACAGACCACTTTAAGGCTCCATTGTAATAGTTTATTTCACCAGAGTCCTTTTAAAGGATGCTTGATCATTTATTCACTTTTTCTTGTATTTGTGCAAGTATTTTCTTTTTTTGGATATATCATGTGTAAAACCTGTTCAAATGATCTGGGGATCTGATTGCTTTCAATTAATATAATAATTATTTTCAAGGATCTTTTTTAGTTATCTGAATATCTATAAAAAGTAATGGATTTTATTTTATTTATTTATTAATCCAACAGATATTATCACTTGAACATTATTTTTAGTGGATACCCATATTTGAGTTGACCGTCTGTTTATTTATTAAGCAATATATTTACAATGAGTTGGCTACTCCCTATTCCCAAAAAAAAAATGTTTCAGGAAGACCTCCATTGATGGAAATGATACTGGAAAAAAATTTCTGGCTTCAGAAGGGGACTACTTTGAAAAACAGTATTTACATTAGTCGGACTATTGTCCTCATCTTTGTCACCATATTTGTCACAACGTTTCGGCCGTTGTACGCTCCGGCCTTCTTCAGGTGGTTGGAATTTCGAACTGAACCCTTTATTTCGATCACTGGGGTAGACTGTTCTAGTTCCATGTGCCATGTTTGAAGAAGGCTGGAGCGTACAACGGCCGAAACGTCCAACTAATGTAAATACTGTACATAATACCTCATCTCAGAAATATAGACATACTTTGAAAAAAGATTACATGCTGAATTTATATGTGTCGTAGTTTTCATTTTAAAGCACTGTGACTGATACTTTTTGATCAGATCTTGTATAGGCAGAGAAAAGGTTTTTGCCGAGAAAAAATAACACTAAATATTACAATTGGAATTTGAGAACATTCTAAAATAAATTTGAAAATCTTTTTGGCATTATTAAAAGCAAGGAAATTATGGAATGGTGACAAGGATTGGGTTTCCGGTTTCTTCTTCTAAAGTCTTCTCATTCCCTTTCACTTCCAGTAACTCCTCATGTCTTAGTGGCATTATTGCCTTGCTTGGGGTGAAATGATTAAAAAAAGAAAGTAATTTTCATCTCTAGATATGAAACAGAGGATATTTGTGTGTCTATGTGTCTGTCTGTGTGATTCCTTTTCATTAGAGATCCATGCAACCGATTTTCACCAAACTTGGCATATTCATTGTACAATTTAAGAGATTGGTTCTTGGTGTAAAAAAATTAACAATTTCTAAAAAATCAATAATCGATAAAGCTGATCAAAAATCGATAATTTCACCTTTTTTCTTCTGACTTCATTCAAACTCTGTATGTAGCTTACTTACAGCATGACAAGCTCAACGATACCTCATTTTATTTCTACGCCACTGCGTTTTGTGAAAAACTGCAAAAAACAAAAAAATCAATTTCAACACGAACATAAATTAAAAACTCCCTCAATTTTCAAGCAATCTAATACAAATTTCACTCAATTGTAGAAAACAATAAATTGATTGTTTAACAGTCAATTAACTTGATAATTGAGTCCACCCATATTGTGCAAACCAATGTAAATAGCAAAAAATGGTGATTTTTACTGATTTCTTTTTTTATTTTTCATTGAT